TCCTCCTCCTCCTCCTCCTCCTCCTCCTCTTCCTCCTACTCCTCAACCTCCTCCTCCTCCTCCTCCTCATCATCCTCTTTCTCCTCTCCCTCGTCCTCCTCGTCCTCTCCTTCTTCCTGCCAAGACGGCGCGTGTGCGCTCGGGGAGGGCGAAGACAACTCCTGCTCGAAGAAGACCAGCCGAGGGAGGAGCCAAGAAGAAGCCATGGCACACACACACACACACGAACACACACACACACACATGCTTTCGAAGTCCGGAAGGCCAGCGTTCCACTCGAAGGACACGATGGCGGCTTGCGGGGAGGGCAGGATTAGTCAGCATCGAATCGAGCAATCGGATCGAGCCGAAGCGCGCGTCGGATCGGGACGCATCGGAACGGGGTCGAGATGGAATGGGATCGGCTGCGCCAGGATGCACCGCAGCGCCATGCGGGCAGCGGGCCGTCTCGGATCGCTGGGAAGCCAAGATCGGGAGCGGCCAAGAGGGGGGTGTCCAAGAGGGGGGGGGGTGCAAATCATGACCGGCGGCATGTGCGCGGCCCAGCGGGGGGGCCTGGGACGTAATGAAATAAGAAAAGGCGCCATGAAATCTCAGGAAAAATCATGGCCCACGCCATGAAATCCACCCCCCCCTAGTCATCACCCCCCTCTTTTCCGCTCCCGACAAGATCAGGCCCGGCGCACTCGACACCGGAGCGGGACGGGTCGAATCGGAGCGTGCCCTGGAAGGAGAGAGGCCGTCGTCCGGCTGCCCAGTCGTCCGGATTTCTCGTCAGAGCTCGGGCCGCCAGCGGGGCCGGTCTGTGGCCGCTCTTGGCGAGGCACAGCTGCCGGAGAGCACTGAAAGGCTGGCGCGCCACGGAGAACCAAGGAAACTCTCATACCGAGCAGGAAGAGGGAGGGAGAGGGGGAAGGCGGAGGAGGAAGAAGGAGGAGGAGGAGGAGGAAAGAGGAGGAGGAGGAGGAAAAAGGAGGAGGAGGAGGAGGAGGAGGAGGAAAAAGGAGGAGGAGGAGGAGGAGGAGGAGGGAGGAGGAGGAGGAGGAGGAGGAGGGGAGATGATGAAGGGAGGAACCAAAACGGGGGGAGAAGTAGGGCTCCCACCCAGTGTAACAGACGTGCTCACAGCAACCTGCCAGGCTATCATGGGGGGAGAACGAGGAGAGGACAAAGGGGAGTGCTGTCAGTCTCGCGGAAATCGGGGCCAGGATAGCCAGAAGAACGGTCACGTGGCAGCCCGCCAGCCGGTCCTGAGCGACTTGTCGCCGTAGACAACGACGCTGAAGATGGATCTGCCTGCAAGCTGAGGGAAAGGACGGAGCACAAGAGAACGGGGTAGCCCAGCGTGCGAGGACAGGGATGGGGGCAGACAGGGTGAGATTGGAAATTGGGAGGACTCAGAGTGTCAGAAGCAGTGGGGCTGGGGGAGGGAGAGGGGGATGGGATGAGAACGAGGAGGAAAACGAGGAGGAGAAGGGGAAGGCCACGTCAGGATGACTCAGAGGCCATCAGCAGTAGCAGTCGGAGGAAACAGGGGTGATGGAGGAGGAACAAAGCAGGAGTGAGAGGAGGCGGAGGAAGAGGAGGAGGAAGAGGGGGGGAGGAGGACCTACGGAGTTACGGATGTTGCGGCTGTGTCGGTTACGTACGGGCTTAACCAGAAAAGGGCAGCTGTTCTGGCCTTCTCAGCTTTGCTGTACGTTTTAGGCCAAATCCCCCGTTCAAGGTTCTGGAGAGAATCTTCACGCTTACCGTCGGCTTCGACTGGCTATGTATTCCCTAGTTGCGACAGTTGTTGAGCCGCAAAACTCCCACATGCCCCACAGAACCACACTCCCAGCCCAACGTGAAACTGTACATCATGGGGGTGGTCCGCCCAGCCCCCTGGGATGTGCACCCTGCAACTTGAGGGCTGCCTGACTCGTGTGCCAGCTGCTGTCCTCAGGTCGAAGCACGGGGGATCCAACCACTCAGCGCGAGATGCTTTGGACGCGGTGTTCTTACGCCTGGTACAGGACATACCGTGTTCAGACAGGCTGTGTTGGGTGGTGGAAACTGTACCAGCCGACGGAACGGGTGCGTAACACGGGCTCCTCGGGGCTCCTCGGCAGCTGGCTCTTGCTCTGCCTTTCAACCATTCCAGGGTGCCGAGTGACGCCCTAAGACGGACGTGGCAGGCCTTCTCTTTTATGCTGGATAACTCTGGCGCGATCGGCAGCGGGCACGCGGGCGGCTCAGGCGGCAGCCTCTGATAATCGATCGGCGGTTGCGTTGCCAATGGCCAAGCACAAAGGCGACCTCCCTTGGAGGATGTCTGCTGCCTCCTGGTGGGAATGAACAAACAGCACGGTGCAACGCAAGGTCGGCTTCATCCGCAAGATTTGACCAGTCTGAAACCACACATCAGTATTCTCATCTTGAGGGGAGACAACTCGGCCACAGTACCACCCTGAATAAACGCTGAAATTGTCGGCGGTGTAAACAATCACCCCGTCCGAGCCTACCAGAACGGTGACGAAGGCGTCTCATTCCCCTGGAGGCACGCTCTGATGGGGCCCCGGGAGGCCCCCCCAGACACACATCTCGAATCTTCAATGACAACTCATCACACCTCGCTAAACCACATCCTGCACGTCGAAGCCTCGGATCACTGCCATCTTCGCCCCCGCTTGCGTCCTCGAGCAGGAAGACGGGGGCCAACCCGGAGCCCGCCCCGAAGCACTTATCTGCAAAGACCTCCGCGCCGATGCTTCCCCACTTTGCTTCCTGCTGGGGCGGCGGGACTGCTGCCCGCGAGTGCGGCAGCAGCCTCGCATCCAGAAGCGCGGCTCAACCTGGTTCTGACTACGTGCACGTGGCGTGTAGTCGTCAGACTGCAGAGGTGTACACACGTACATAGATATAGATATATCATGCGACTCGCATGTACTACAAGTCTACGCTCCATGACAAGAGCTCCCGGGCCACCCCGACATCTGGCGCGCGCAACTGAAACTTGTTGGTTTTCTTCAGACGTCTCTCACGCGGCCAAGAGCACGCCCGCAAGTCTCTTACTGCAGGGGCCCTCGTCCAACTGGCGTAGAAGAGCTTGATGCGACAAGTTGCGGGCTCCGTCGACCACGCCGACGCCGCCGCCGAAGTGCTCTGAGGCTTGACGCCGCAAACTCCCCATGACCGTGCCCTCGTACTCGTGCGAGAAAACGGCGGGGGTGTCCGCAGCCTCGGAGCCCGCGAGAGCCTCTGAGTTGAACTGCTGACTGTGCTGAAGTCCAGTGTCATCGCCAGGGATTTGTCAATCCGCTGGCCCCGATGGGCCCCATTCCGCATGGGGTGCGATGTTATTGCGGCTTGTGGCCCTCGAGCGCGACGGCTTCGCTGCCGTGGAAATACGCCGCGAAATTTCAGCGCGGCGCTCTTCCGAGCCAGAGAATCCCCACTGCGCAAAGCGGGTTGAGATAAGCCAGACCGAATCCATAACTGCAGACATTTCCGCGGCAAGCGGTAGGCTGGGTCACGCCCTGGCGTGCGCGAGTCCATCAATGATGTCGCGCCTCTGCCCGGCAGACGAGGACTGGTAGCATCGCGCAGGGAGGCTCGCATCCGTGGCATGGTTGACCGAAGGCTCCATGTGCACGATGAACATATGCCCCTGCGGCTGCTGTCCCCTGTTGCTCCAGTCTCGCGGTCAGCTTGCAGCGTCTGGCCGTCCGCGCGCAGCGAGCCACCTTCGCGCGCGCGCGACAGTACTTCTCGACACGCGCGTCCTTACCCTTACGAGCGTGCTTCCCTCCACCCCAGGGGTCAACTGTCAAGTCTGAGGCCTGCGGCGCTGCCTTCGCCACGATGCCCGTCGCCTCGGGCCTCCTGACCGCGTCGCGAGCGTCGGCCAGCTCGGCGCAGACCACTGCGTTCTTCGGCGGCACATCGAGGCCCGCCTGCTCCACCCGGTAGCGCGCGCCCCGAAGGCGTGCCACAAGCCGCTCGCGAACCGGCCCCTTGGCCGTCTGCCTCGGGTCGAACCACGCGCTATGCGACGCGCGAATATGCACGCGAATGATTCGCTGCACTCTATGATATGCGACCACCTCGGCGAAACGAGCGCCAGCGCGGGGGCCCTGCAGCAGCATCGACCCCCCGGGGTCGACAGCGGCTGACGTGCTGACGCGCACTGCGCCAACTCGAGCGCGCACACTTCGGGGGTCGGGGGGGAACTCGGGCCCAATGGCCACCCGACGCGTCGCAGAAACTGGCGATGCCCAGTAGTCCGCGGCCGCGAGACACGCTCAGTCCCGCCGCCATCACCTCGTCCACCACGCATGCGGAAAGCCTCCTGCAGCGCTGCGATGCCATGGATCGCGGCGCCTCAGGGTGCCTCGCAGCCTTTCGACCGCGTCCGCGCCCGGGATTCTCGCGCCCGCGACCATAGCCTGGCGACGTGCGGCAGCAGGCAGGTGACCCTGTCGCCCGTGACCTTCGTCGGAAACCGGGCGCCGATGGCCAGTGCGAACTGGCGCGGCCAGGCCCACCGCCACTCGCAGGCGCCAAAGGGGACTGCCAACTCCTCCAACGCATCGTCGAAGTCGATCTGCGTCGGGCGCCGTGAAGCGATCGATCCCCGCGGCAGCAGTCCGTTTCGCGCGCCGCCCTGCTACTCGAACATGTTCACCAGCCAGCGGAGGTAAGCTCTCGCCCTGCACGCGCTGCCGTACGATGGTAGGCAAATCTGATAGTCTATCAAATTCCTGACCCTGCGGTGCCCAAAGGTGTCGGAAACTCTCCTGCTTCTTGTCCATGATATCTCGAAGATGCTGCAACGCTGGCTCTCCGCCGATCAGAACGTTGGGAACCCGTGGAGGATCGCGCAGCGCGCGATGATGAACCGACGCTGCATTCTGAGATTCCGCCCCTTGGCGACACCCAGCTACTAATTCATTGATGGCTCGCCGAGCTGGAACCTCATCACTACGAGCAAGGCCAGCCAAGCTGTCCGATTGATGTTGCCACGTTGTCTCAAACATTGACGCCCCTGCACTGAAACTCCGCCTCCAGGAAGGCTGACGAGCTGCGGCCAGTAACTCCCGTTGCTTCGCCCCTCTCAGTCGAGCGCGATGCTTGGCGCGCGCGCGCCCGCCACCCTCTGATGCGATTCCTATGCGGCGAGACGCATGCAGGCGTGGCCTCCAAGACTGCGCCAGCGCGAAACTTGGGTCCGCCCGCGCGAGAACGGCCAAAGTGGGCCCGGCCGTGGCGCGAGGCCGCGATAGATTCGACGGCGCGCATCCGCGCCCCGCACAAGCTGCCGCGACCATCGCAAGAGATTGAGCCAAGAGCGAGGGCAACAGGGCCAGCAACAGCATTAGATGGCAAGACCCTGCAGGCAGGAAGTCAACCTTTTTCCTCTCCATGGCCCAAGATTTATCATCCATATAGAAACCCGCGTCGGATTTTAAACGCCCCGTGCTCGCCTGGGGCGATGGCTCGCGAGACATATTCTCGGGGCTACTATCCATCTGGAGGGCCCCGCGCTGGGCCGAAGTACTCATCGCAAAACTAGCGTCGCCAAGGGGGGGCCGCAGGCACGGCGGGCGCAGGTCCGAAATTGGCCTCGAAGGCCCAGAGGTCCTCGTCGAAATCCGACTCGACGTCGCCCAATTCGTCGCCGGCACCTGCATCGGCGATGCAGGGGCCCATTCGGGCCCTGCCCCCCCCCCCCTTCCTGCGCGTGCTGCTCCGCTGGAAACCATGCGCGAATTTGTTCATGTCTGCGCTTCCTCGCCAACTGCCGTGCCGTGCCACCCTGCCCCCTTGCGCTGCGCGGCTCGACGTCGAGCCCCCCGTCGGTCGCCGAGCTGGACGGGTCATCGTGGGGAGCTGGGGAGCCAAATCAAGACGCCAAGTGCACTTCTGGCTTCCCTCTGAAACGAGTTCGAGGCCGAGACCTACGCGGGGCTTCCATGGGGCGTTCGCGGCAACCCCGGGCCCCGAGGAGCAAGGCCTCGCAACCTCAGAACACAACGCAAAACCCATATGATAAGATTTGTTGTCACCTGGTGCGCACGTGAACTCAGCCTCGCACGTCAAGACAGCGCCTGCTAGTGGTTCCACCCAGCCAGATGCACACGAGTGCTCTGGCGACAAGCTCCAATCACCTATCACAATCCACGGCGACTGGAGCGATGCAATCAAGATGCCTAACGTACGCAGGCAACGAACATTTTCAGCCGAACATCCTGTTCCTGAGTGACCGTGCGCTGCGCAAAACACAACCGAGAGTCCTTACATGTGCAGCAAGCATGGGATGAAACCATCGAAGGCCGCGCTCTGTTCAGACTAAAGTGCTGGTAAATTACGAGCTGCATATAATATGTGAGCTGGGCGGTTGTTCTTTGTCAACATGACCTATCCGCCCTGTCCTCACTGGCCCTCTCCTGCTGGTCAGGGTGAGCCTTCTTCCATCTACTCTTGAGACGTGCGCTGTTGGACGCGAGCTTGAAACCTCCACCCCGCGCCTTGGACGTCCATTTGCCAAAGTCCTCTCGGGCGCACATGTGATTCGCAGAAAATAATTTAACCACGATCATGACTCGACTCCCGCGACACGTCTCCAAAGCAAGTAACGCTCCCCAAAAATAGCTTCCACGACTTGACCGAAAGCGCTGCCGAAACCGAGGCTGCGGAGGATGCTGATTCTGATGCTGAAAAAATGGAAGCTGAAAAAGAAACTGAAGAAATTGAACTTGTAGATGCCGGTGCCGTTGTACCGGAAAGACTGCAGCTGCGCTCGTGCGACACCTGGAGGACCGCCCCGCTAGAGACTGCTGAAGTCCCTAGACGCAGATTGTCCTCATCATCCTTGTCACCATGGGGCGTCGACGCCCCTTCTCCTGAACGCTTCCCCTTTCCCTTAACCGCCTCGGCCACGACACCTGCGGCGTCGAACCTCGCCTTGGACGGTTTCGCCGCCGTACGCTTCATGTCCTCCTCTGGCGGGCCGCTCGCCTCCTGGGCCCCTGGTGCGACGGGAGCCGAGCCCGCGCCCGCGGCCCCTCCCGCTGGCGAGGCACCCGCGCTGGAGGCCTGAAGCATGCCCTCGGAAGAGCCCACCCGCACTGACAGCGGACGCCGGGGCCTGGCCGTTTTCGCCGTCGAGCGCCTGCTCGTCCTGACCCATTCCTCTTCTCGGCCATGCGTTCCGTGACCTCCCTCCCGAGCTGGTCCAGCTTGCGGAAGAAGGCGCGCCGCTGCTCACACCTGGTCTCGAATGCCGCTGTGCATGATTCCAAGTCTTGCTGCAACTCTCCCCGCGCTATCTTGTCGCTCTCGTCCCAGTCCCAGCTCTCGAAGCTGTCGAATGTCTGACTGTCGATGTGTAGGGCGAGCGCTGGGCGTTCACCTCACTGCCTCAGCCTCTTAAGCCACTGTAGCTGTGACTCCTTCGGTTGCTGCCAGCGCTGCTGCTGCCCTGCGCTTGTCGATCTCCGCTCGTGCAAGGACCTCTGCAGCCTTCTGCTCCTTTGTCTCCACTGTTCGTAACTGCCTCCTTAAGCGAAGCACTAATGAAAAGCATTGTTCATATCTGTGCCAAGTTACACGCCAAGCCTCATCGGCAGTACGAGCTGCTTCTGCTTCACTGGGGTACAGCTGCTGCTCCACCTTGGCCTTGGGCCGCGCCTGCTGCTGCCCTCGCGTCGTCTTGAAGACACCATCATTCGTCGTCTCGCACGCTCCCTGGAGCAGGCTCTGAAGTTCACGGTCCGCCTTGCTCACGCCTCCATCCACGTCTCCTCCTCGGGCTGTAGCTGCGCGCACTCTTGGGAGGAGAGGAGAGGAGAGAAGAGGAGAGGAGAGGAGGGACGCAGGGACCGTCTCTTCAAAACGAGGACCCAACACCACAGGATGGTCGGACAAAAAACAAGTGCGAACCCCCAGCGGAGCGCTTTAACTGAAAAAGAGCAGGTCACTGGGCAGGGGGATCAACCATATTTAGGCGTGAGAATTCAGCAGCAACAGCAACAACATCATCAACATCAACATCAACGCAACAACAACAATCCGCGCCGCGAAACCCCACTTGAGCCACGCGTCCAGGGACAAGACTGACCGTTCGGCTCCCTCCCTGACCTTTGGACAATGCCAGGAGTGCGTGGTACACCGCTCCTGGGACCAGCATGGACCAGGTCTTGGGAGGTGGATATGTATATATACATATTTATATACTACAAATACATCCCGTCGCCCTATCCAGCCGCTTGAGTACAGTGCGGAAGCGGCTGCAAGAAACACTCGCAAGACACCCAACCCTGAAGATCTGCCCGCGAGGTGACGTTCGGGACAAAATCCCCATAAGGCACCCTCAACGCAGCAGCTCCTCAGCGCCCGCGGGGAGTCACCACGCAGCGAAGAAACCCAAGGAACCCTGACGAAAATCATCTGGTTTGGGAGACGGCCAAGGGGTCTGAACAGGATTGACCTCGGAAAAGTCTGCAAGAAGGGGGGATCAGGGCAAATCCGATCAAAATCGATCCCTGGCCCTGGACCCCTCCCTGGGCCCCCCTGGTGTAGTTCTTCGCCCGGGCTCGTTTTTGACGGTCCCAGGGCCGAGACAGGCAACAGACCTGGTCGAACACAGCGCCTCGAACCTCGCCCCCAGCCCCCCCCCCCCCTCCTGCTACCCCCCCCCCTGCTGGCCAGGGCCAGGTGCTGGCCCACCTCAGACCCCCCGCCGACTCCGAAGCTGGCTTCCTGACGCGCGTGCCCACTGTGAGGCTCACGCTGAGGACCGCAGCTGCCCTCTGCCGCGGCCGTGGCTGCCGCGGCCAGGCCCGCGCGGCTGGTGCGGGCGTGCCCTGCCCGCTCGCAGCGGGCGAGCACGGCGGGGCCCCTGGCCGTCGAGCGGCGGGCACGCAAAAAACGTCGTGCGGCGGCTTGCGCGGGCCGCCCCTCGCGTGCAGAGGTGCGCAGAAGGCATCCGTGCACCGACGCCGGGCCTGGCCAGGTCCACCCGGGGCCCCGGGCACGGCGCACACGCCCTCGCGGCCCAGGCCGGGAAGGTCCACACACCATCCGGGGTCCCGGGATGGCCCGGGCCAGGCACGGTGGTGGTGCACAGCCGGGCTGCCGCAGGAAGGAGCGCTGAACAGAAGGAACGGAGCCCCTTCTGGCCCCCCAGAAGGCCGCCTGCGTGCACGAGGAGGGCTAGAAGGACAGCCACGGAAGGGCCTGAGAAACAGCGAGCCCCTTCCGAACCCAAAGCGGTCCTTGTTTCAGCGTCCTGACCGTGCAGATGCCTCCTGCGGAAGACATGCTCTGGGACTGCTGGGCTGCAGGCGCCGCCCTGCCTGCTCAGCGCAGCAGCAGCGACGACCGCGCGGCGCGGCGGTGCACGGGAGCCAGCTCCTCCTCGGGGCCGAGCCGCAGCAGCTCCTCGCACAGCTCGCCGAGCGTGTCCACCCGCTGCCGCACGATGCGGAGCTGGCAGTCCGTCTCGGCCAGGATGTCCTCCCGCTGCTGCAGCGAGGCCTGCCGTGCCGCGTCCTGGGCCTGCTGCCCCGCCGCCTCCGCGCGCTCCAGCAGGCCGGCCAGGCGCCCGTCCTGCCCGTCCACGCGCACGCGCAGCGCGCTCAGCCGCGCCTCCGCGTCCTCGAGGCGCCGCCCCAGCTCGCGCGCCAGCGCGCCCGCCGCCCCGCCGTCGTCGTCGCAGCGGCGCCGCTCTGGCGGCGGCGGCGGCGGCGCGGCGGCGGCGGCGGGCCGCCGCGCGCCGCGGAGCTCCGCGCGGAGGTGCGCCAGCTCCGCCTCCAGCCGGGCCTCCACCAGGCGCAGCACGTCGTCGCGCAGCCCCAGCAGGCCGTCCGCGGAGCGGCGGCGCAGCGCCTCCAGGTCGAGGCGCAGGCGCTGCAGCTCCGCCTCCGAGGCGCCCCAGAGCTCGTCGAGGCAGCGCTCCAGGTTCGCCACGGCGCCCCCGAGCTGGTCGAGGCCGAGGGCGCGCTCGTGCTCCAGCCCG